AATACCTCAACATATCTTTGAGCATTAATTGCTTCTGCACTATTTCTTTTCTTTATAAAAACCAATGGTCCTTTTTCACCAACTAGGCCGCCAGGAGAGTAACCGGAGGAAAAAAACCTAACTGTGGGACCAGAGGCAGGTCACAGCCCTTCCAGGCCATCTGGATTGGTAGTTTGGGATAGTTGAGAATACTGGTAATAGTCTGTAAAGTACATACTGGGGTTTGAGTGAACTCTACAAGAGCAGAAGTAGGTTTGGGTAGTGAAGTTTAGCCAAACTGGGGTTAAATCTAGTACGAAAAGCTGGAGGAAAAACCATAGACAATGACCTTGACCTGGTATTACTCATACTCTCAGAATGGACAAACTAAATCACAAGTAATAGGTTATAGCTCTGCGTACCAAACTGAAATACAGGCTAGGTGCAGTATAAAGTAGGAATACTGCAGGCTCTGCCAGATTTACTTTGAGGATAAAGTAGTTCTAGATTGGTTATATGTAATAGTTGCATCAAGAAGAACTGGTTTCTAGAAGACCAGAGAATGGTATTAATTATGAGAAAGCCTCAGAATATATAGGCGCAGAGGGTTTAAAATAGGCAACCCCTAGTTGTGTTGCAGGTACAGCAAATAGTGTAGAACCTAGTAATAAGCAGACTACTTAAATAGGTGCTCAAAAGGTGCAGGTATGGCTAAATATACTCTCCAAATATGTATAATGATGTTCTTACATAATAAAGCACAACATGATCAAAAGATCACCTTAATACCAAAAAAAACAAAAAGTATATGTAAAAATTTATACAAAAAATATATGTAAAATTTATGCAAAAAGCATTATATGTCAGTTAATCACTGTATTAATAAGTTAATTAATTATTATATTTAATCATTAATTTATCAATATTTAAGAATTTAATTTTTTTGGTTTTATTTTTTTTTACTCTTTATTATTTGTATTCTTTCTTACTCTTATTTTATTTTAACTATGCCTCATAATATTCAATTAAGTGATTTTGAAAAAGAACAAATTGTTGAAATTTATAAGCTTGGAGCTACAATAATGTTTATTGCTATAGTATTAAATTATGATCATTTTGCAGTATCTCGATTTTTAACTTGATATAAAGAAAAAAATATTGAAACTGTTATATATTCAGGAAAACTATTAATTATGACTAATATGGATGAGCAAAATCTTATTGATGCAACAATCTATTACAACAATCTGCTGCTTAAAGAAATTTTAGCTAATCATGATATTAATATTTCACTATCTTTGGCAGAAAAATCTTGTACAAGAATGGAATTTGGGACGTATAGTCACTAAGAAACCAGGTTTGAATCCAAATCAAGCAGAAGCATGACTTGTCTAGTATAATGCTCACATTAATTGAAGTACAAATGATTGGCAGAAGGTTATCTTTAGCAATGAATCATTTGTTGAGATCGGTAGCTATTCACGAAAAATGGTTGTATGGAGAATGAAAGGTGATCGATACAAGCCATATTTTATGGTACTAACATTTAGAAGTAAAGAAGAAGTATTATAGTATGGAGATGTTTTGCAGATGGCGAAAAAGGACCATTGGTTTTTATAAAGAAAAGAAATAGTGCAGAAGCAATTAATGCTCAAAGATATGTTGAGGTATT